AGCCCATCTGGCCGAGGCTGCCTCCGGTTAGCACTCAGCCTACAGATGCAACACGTCGAAAAAAGTGTGCCTGGGGTTGTAGTGCTAGAGCAGTGGTACACAAGTTGAACGTTACACGTTTGTTGTCGTGTATGTTTGACTGTGTAGCGAATCTTTACACTACCCTGTAGTGTTTGGCTCTAGGACTCAAGCCTCTCTCAAAAGCCCCACCCGCGGTTGTAGTGCTAGAGCAGTGGTACACAAGTTGAACGTGCCGAGTGTTGACTTTCAAAGCAAGCCAGATGAACCTACCGAGTGTGACATCGTCCTTGGATGTCCGAGTGTTTTGTTGCAAACACTTGTGCCTTGAAAATGCTTTAGTAGAACACCTTCGTAGTTTTGCTGCAGGTTTGTAGCATGAGTTTGTTCTTGTTGCATGTCATGTCGTGCAGTGCTTTGGCACGTGTAGGAGATTACTTGTCAGTGATGCCAGGCACTCAGCCATATGACTGCATGACATGTATGTCGAAGCTGTGAAAAAGTGTGTCGACATCGTCAGCTAACGACATCACCCAAATTACTGCGACAGCAACACATGACCCCATGGAGAAGTGCTGGATAAGCATATTTGTCTACGCGAAGGCGACTCGCATTGGAAGCCAGATATCCTAGCCTCCGAGCGTCTGGGCAGCTAAACACCGCAGTTCATGTGCAAGAAGTGCGTATATTGTATTGTTGGGATATGGTGTGGGCTAATCATGCCAGAATGAAGCCATGACTACAGTGACGTGGAAAGCGCTGATCGTCGTGGCCGCCGTGGGCTGATTGACCTGTTGCCACGTCTGTTGAACTGTGGCGACTTACTACATGAAGCCAAGGTTCTATTTTCGTGCAGTTCACCGTCATAGAATGGGAATATGGGTTGCCGGCCAAGATTTCTCAGTGTGTTGTTCCGTGAGCCAAGTCCTATTTCCGAGAAGTTGCAGGCAAGCAGAGCGTGGCGCCGACTGTTTGCAAGCGACCAAGACTGCAAGCTTGCACCTCAGTGTCAAAGCATGGCCATGGTTCTGCAGGTGGCTGTGTGAGTGATCAGTTGAATGCCACCGGTGATGAAACCAGCAACCCAAACAAACAGCACGATAGGGTATGCATTGAAACGAACATCGTACGTTTGTCTGTTGAAACATCGGTTGTTTGACATGATCGGATCTAGTTTTAAGTTTTGTCTCATTGTGGCTGCCGTATTCCATTTATAGTTTCCATATCGGGGGTGGTTCGGCTGTAACTTGTCTGGCCACTGAAGTCAAGTTGCGATTGCGGAAGTTCTGGACGTTGTTGTCAGTGGTTCAAAGCCTTGCAATCCGTTTTATGAGTGTTGCGTTTTGCAGCCTGTCCGATATGTGGCTGTGACACTTGCAAGCAGGAGTACAGAGCTTTCTTCAGCTTGTCATCTCGTGTAAAGCAAGTTGGGTGCCTGTCGCCGAGGATTGTCATTGTGGGGTTGAACAATGCCGGCAAGACCACCATTTTGTACAATCTACATCTTGGCCAGGCGCAGTTTGTTGGTTCGTGAACTAGCTTCATGGATTCTTACATGATGGCTGTGGATCGAGGTTGTTTTGACGCAGCCAACTATTGGAAGCAACGTGTGCTACCCGATTCCTCCACATTCTGCTCGCTTCTCTGGGGCTGACTTGCCTTCCGAGGTAGAAGAAGTCAAGCACGAAAACTTGACTTTTCAGGTTTGGGATCTTGGTGGGCAGGAGTCTGTCACACCCCCATCATCTTGTCGTGGAACGAGTTCTGTTGTTTTCACAGAGAGCTGCACAAACAGCTGCCGACAGGAGAGTCTGCGAGCCAACTGGTCTACGTATTTCGAGGAGTTGGCAGCACATTCTTGGCTTGCAGCTTCGCAGGAGCATTCGTGCTTGGCAGGAGGCTGACGCCATCATATTTGTTGTTGACAGCAACGACCAGGAGGGAGGAGGTTTGTTTTCCACGCTGGAAGAACATGAGCACACCTTCCAGGTGCTAGAGGTTCCAATTTTGTTAGAATGAATGCCTGGGCTGTTCATAGCCATCTTTTGCCACAACTTATGAGATCAGTTCCTGGTGACATGCTTGGTTTTGCTACCTGGTCGGTTCTTGTTTGCGAAACTTGAGTTTCAACGGCAACAGATTGTAGGCCCCGTAGTGGCCATCACATTCTCAAGCTTGGCTGTCTGTATTTGTGTGAACTGAATTCGGCATCCGCAGCGTCCACGGCAGTGAGCATAAGCTAATTCTGCATGCACTCTACTTTTTGTGTTGGTTCACTGTTCGGACTCGCGTGCAGGAGAACATGGTTCTGGCCAAGATGGAGTTGTTCAATGTCGTTCTGCACGAGGAGCCCAGCACAATCTCGAACTTTTGAACATGGAGCCAGGCACGGCAATCCTGCCGGTGTTTCACATTGGAGAGATTCTGAAGTGTGAATGCTTGAGTAGTGACTTTCGCGTCATACATAATCATGTTCGGTATATAATGCGTCTTGAGGCTGAGGCTTGGTCACTGCATTGAAGCAGATTGCAGCTGGCAAAGGGATAACAGCTTCCCACACTGGCATCTCAAAAAGGGTATATACAGCCGCAAGAGCCTCTTGCATGGGAGGACCTGAAGCACGCTTGCCTTCTAGTTCTTGCCAACAAGCAGGACGCTGTTTTCTCCAGGATGGTGTTCGCCTTCGCTGTGCCTTGCTGAAATTTCTTGGGAAGGATATCCAGGGCAGCCGCAATGCTGGCCAGATCGCACAAGACCTCTCGCTGCACAAGATCCTTACCCACGAGTGGCAGGTTGAGCCGCGGTCCGTGGAATCAAAGAGCGACGCATGCTGAGTGCCCTGCTGCAGATTCAAAGTTGCTGTGCTTTGACGGGAGAAGGCCTTCGTGAGGCGCTGCTGTCATCTCGTAAATGCTGTCAGCTGTGCGTCCAGCAGGTGTTCCAGACGCAATCTGGTCTGGCCGAATACATATAGCACTACCGGACATGTTCGAGAGACCATGAAGTTGTCCGGGCATGCCTGAGGCCGCATGAGCCAATGACTAAGAAGAGTCAGAACACCACCACACCATCGGATCATAAACCTCGGCAGCTGAGTTGATCCATCGCGTCAGGAATGAACCCTTTAGCTTCGGCACGAATATTTGCATGGAAGGGGTTGTTGCCTTTCATTGAGACACCTGGCGACTTGTGACTTCACTTCGCGAGCTGACAGCAAGTCCGCGATGCTTTGCAGGGAATGAGCTGGATTGCTGGCAGGATCCGAGCATGGGGCTAAGTTCTCGCGCCAGTCGGCCAAGCGCAAAGAACTTTGTCCGTACATACATAAACTACACTACCTGAAGGCACACCGCAGCGGAGAGGCGTCGGGACCACGTTCGCAGCAAACTGTGAGCTAGAAAGCCGCTGACCTGCACTAGAACATCAATGCCTATCTCCTTTCGCATTTTGTCGCCTCAAACACTTCACTTGAATGAGTGATCGTCGTTCAAGGCAACCGCCATTCTGTCGACCGCGATCTTTCAAGCCAAGTGCAGCGTTAATGCTTATCGTTTCACCGGCCTGAACGTGAGAGGAAAATAAGCTATGTCGGAGAAACATCGATCTCCCACAGACAATCCTTTCACACGGCCTGGCTTTTCCTGTTGTCTGCAGGCTCTTACAGTGTGTGAGAGCAGCTTCGGGAATGTTAATCTTGTTGTCGATAGGCTTCATTTGGTTTCCAGTCGAGCCTACATGCATTACTGAGGGTGCATAGACTTCCCGTTCCCGAGTGTGGTGACGCCCAGCGTTGGATAGCCACGAGGTAATTGAAATGAAACGGCAAATGAGTGTTAGTGTTGGGGTGGTTAGTGTTACTGCTAGCTGTTAGTGGTCGTGGTAGTGGTAGTGGTAGTTTTGCCGCCGCCGCTGCTGCTGCCGTTGTTGTTGTTGTTGTTGTTGTTGTTGTTGTTGTTGTTGTTATTGGTTGGTTGGTGTTGTTGTTGTTGTTGTTGTTGTTGTTGTTGTTGTAGCCGCCACGGACCAGGCCGCCGCGCAGTTGGAGGCAATAACGGGCTTTGGGCGCAACCTTCTTTCCTAGAGGTCCTAACCGGGC